ACTTGAATTGCTTTTGAAATAGTTCAAGATTAGACCTTTCCAGAACCTTTATCTATCGAGTTTTTATTTCGCAAATGTTTATTTGGTTATTATTATTAAATACACTACTTTAAAAATCAGTACTAAATACAGAAACAGGATAAATATTTGATTAAGTAGAAGAAAATACTGTTGCATAATTCTTATGTGTTTTCGAGTCAGTGCATGCATTATTGTTGTATATGCGACATTGATTTTTATCAAAAAAATCAAAGAAATAATTGCGATGAAATCGCTCAGCTTTTGTTCCCACGTGTTGATAACTTGAAGTATTTACCTTTATACAATGATGTTGTTGACTGTTCATAACAACTACCAGAATTGTAGTTTGTCAACACTGATTACTAGATTAATGAAACACAACCACTGTATGCAAACTTTGCTTCTCGTATGTACAGTCATTCATAAAATTGAAAACCTCTCGAAAAATACCAAAAATATAGAATGGATAAAAAAACAACGCTATTCTTGTTATTTGTGTGTATTCTCTTTCTCTTACTTACGTACATGGTTCGTGCTAGTTAAAAAAAAATATCTAAACGTGAAAACTGTGTAGAGAAAATTTACAAGTGTTTTTCTTAAATTATGCAACCAAAAATACAACTCTTTAATGTACTACATATTTATTTTATTTTGTTTGTTTCACTTCAAATTAGTAAACAGTAATCATTCAAACTGCGAACTGTTAAAAATATAACTTAGAAAGTGGCGACATCTTTCGTCATACTTTGTAGATTACACACACTCATCACGACACACCTAATTGTATACAGTTTCCTGAACTTCGAATAGAGTATCTTGTTTTATACACTTTAAAAGATAAAAAATGAAAACCATAGACATGTTGATACCCGTGCTGTAATAATCATTAGCGAACTCTGTCCAGATGACTGTTACAGGTCACTGCTGAGCTTGAGGTGTGTCGCTCCACTATCCACACTTCGTACAGCTCACGGCGGACAGATGGCGCTTCATTCTTAATTAATCGAAAACGAAATTTACCGTGATATTTCAACATGCCTTTCCAGTTTTTAACGATAACATAAACTTACCGTTTTAATATAAAGATAAGATAAAATTTCTATTTAATTAAGAAATTGTTTCACAGATAACTTGATAAGGCGTTTCAACTTCAGTGACAATTTAATTTCTTTTTTCTTGTTTATATCTGTCTAGAGTCAAACATAAAAATTTTTCGTTATTTATAGAACGTCTCACACGGCAATTTAGTTTAGGAATATTGCGGCGAATGTATTAATTACGAAATCTTTCCAATTTTGCACACCTTGTGGCAGTATTCATATAAATTAAAAATTAAATGTATTAAAAAACATCAGTACTCGAAAATTTCTGCACTTTCGTAGTAATTAATAAAAATTAAACTCAACCAGATTTTAACTAATCTTAAGACTAAGCCAAAAAAATTTTATGCGTAACTTTAGGAAAACTTTCTTTTTTTAATTTAAAAACAATTTTTCCACTCTTTCATTTGTAAACTCGTTGTGCATAAGCCAGAGCACCTTTCGAACGGGCTAATTTGTAAGCATGGGTGCGCAAGTGTGGATCACCTTATGAATAAGCCCTGAAATTAATACGATGAAGGCATTAATTTGAGCCGAGATCGGCCGTCTTGTACTTAATTAAAATTCTTCGGTATATTCCTTTTCCGGTTATCTCCTTAACCGCGCCGTTTAATATTTTTAGTTATGGTTAAAACGAGCGGCGGTTTTAAGGAGAACGAGTGCCCTGCAATTACAGCCGCCGTCTTAAACGTCTTCTAACTAACTTATACCCACCCATCTCAGCCTACTTGTCTAATCTGATGAAATTATGCACAGTTTAATGAAATTAATGAGTTTTATGAATTGCAATCTTGCCGCGCTTGATAGCCACCGACGTTTCGATTTAGGTAGTCTTTTTGCATTCAACGTTGCGGGGTTGCTTGATGAGAGTGCCAATCTGAATACGAATATAATATAATTTTTGTAATTAGAAAAGTTAAATATATTTGCTTATATTTAATATTTAAACGATACTCGGAAAGTTGTTAAATTAAAAAGTTCGTTACGAGGTATAATTAACTCATAAAGAGACGGTTTTTCAATTCAACGGGAATTTTTTCCTGCGATAGAGTGTTAAACGCGGATGCTGGTCCTATGCTACAATCTTTCCTTGTCGTCACTCTGAAGAAGAAAAGTGAGAGCTGGTTGACACAAATACATTTTAATTTTTCTCTAAATTCATGTGCTTTCGAAAATATAATTACTTAGAACAAACGTTCTCTATAAAGGATACAAAAAAATTTAAAGATAATGCAGTAACTAAATCACCAACTGTTATCGTAGCCTAAATTAAGACTGGTTTTGCACGAATTTAAAGCCATAAAGACGCCCACTCAAGCAAAAAATGAGCAATATTCCAAAACCTTAAATCCCGTAAAAGTAGGTTTGAAAATTTAAAACGCTGTGAACAAATATATTAACTTATAAACTAATAAAATATAACAATAAACCTCACCTCATCTAATGAAGTAATGGGATTCAAACTATTGAAAAGCGTTGGTGATTAAAAACATCATCACTATATCGTTAAATGGCTAAAATAAATTACGTTTATTATGCGATTATAATAAATATTGCTGCAGACAGGTTTATAAAATGGTAAAATTAAAAAATTCACATGTTTTTAATTTATTACCTACGTTGGTATTTAACATTTTCTTTCTATAGTTTTGTTCGTCAATATTGCCTCTTGTTTTATTCATCGCTTTATGAGATTTAATTAATTTATTAATTTATCTTCGCCACGCATTTATAGGGTTATTAATATTTTATGAAGCCATTAAGATCAATTCAAACTGTGATCGGGACAGTATTGATTGTGGAATCCATGGAACATCTAATCACAATAATTCTGTGAATAGCAAATCCCTCCGACATTATAAAGTATAATGAGTGCCTGAAAATTGATCAAAATATTCCGCAACAATGTGGTCAAATCAAATCCATTAGTATAATGTAGCCCTAAATAAAATTTGATATTTGGTAGAAGAAAATTTTCTGTTGTGCACATAGCCGGATTAATCTATTTTAATTCCATTTTTGGAGCGTAGACTGCCGTTAAACAAACTTCCTTTAGGAGAGAAACCGGATATTTTCTAAAGTTAGTGCTCTCAATAGATACATTTTCGAGATAAAGACGACGACGGCATTAATAAAATAAATATACAAGCATACAGAGTATAATAACTAAAAAATTTTTTCATTTACGCAATCACAGACGACTATAAACTTATCTTAGTTTATATCATTAACAAAAATATCCCATTTTTCATTTTATTAAAATCGTAGAATTTTAAGCGTCTCCTTATTAAAGCGGCTCGTGACAACCTTCACCTTTCAGATGATAAGACTTAATTATAAAGTGGTATATTTATTAATGCAGCAGACATTGTGGAATACTCAGTATAAAATAAGTGAGTGTCGGCTAGCATCTGATTGGTTGAGAAAACAGCAACTGGATGGTCTCATGATGTGAATATTTAATCAATATGTCATCGAATCTAGGGCATACGTAAAATTGCAGGTCTTAATAATAAATAACCGCACAATTTATGCAATAATACCACCACCATAATTTACAAATCCATAAATAATTTTATTATTACTATATAATAATATAGAAGATTAGCTGACTTTTCTTAGTATACTTTCATGTGCAGACTTTCAAATCCCTAATTCAGAAGATCTGATTTTCTTATTATATAATAATTTTATATAACTTATACATTTTTATTTGATTCGTTTGACGTCACATGTTTAACAAACAAAATTATTGATATTAATTTTTTGTATGTAAAAACTCATTATGCCCAACTCATGTGACTGTCGTGTGACGTCAAACCAATACTGAGATTTTGTAGTTCAAACGTCGATACCACATTTGAGTAATTAACTGTGTCATTAAACCAAATGCCGTATGTGCGAAAAAATAAAAAATTGCCATAATGTATGCAAAGGTCATTGTAAGAAGCGTCGTTTATAAATTATTCGTTTGGTTGTTAAACTCCAGAAGATCTATCGCTCCGCTCTGTCCCGTTAATGTTTACAATTCGAATGAGAAAGCAATAAAAATCTTTAATGTTAACACTTCATTAACTGATAAGATTTGAACTAGTTCTTCGATAATTTTTGTTGGTGATTATCGATTAGCAGTAGCATATTGAGATAAATTTTTCGATAAGTAATTATTGCGTGAGCGTTAATTTTTAACTGGTTCGAATTCTCTCGCCTCAAGATATTGAAACTTCTAATTAGATGTATTAATGTTTTAGACGCCGATGGTCTTATGTAACTCTTATCAGGTAAAATTATGCACATCGGCGGTTTCAAAATAGGTGTTGATAATTATGTATATTACTTATTAGTGTTTTGATATAATTTATTATTATTCGAAATAAATGGTTTGTTTGCGGCAGACATGAAGGCTTATAAGCAACATTAATTTAACGAGCGGTTACGAAAGAAAATTCAAAAAGAAGTGTTAATCTAATGATTTTTGAATCATGCTTAAATTAAACGAGATAACTCAATATGCACTACCCACTTTTGGAGGTGATTAATGTTAACTTTAAAACCTATCAACAATTAAATTAAGTAAAAGCGCCTAAACGAGACAATTTTTCTCCTCTCTATTTAAGTAAATAGTTTGTAACGAATATGGAATTGCATTTACCAAGGGATGGTTTCATTGTGTCGATACGTTCACTTTAAATTGTAAACAACCGTACATATTTCATAACCAGTATTCAGTGTGTATATGGTTATTTAGCTCGTAATACCAGCAACACGAAATTGGATAATTACTACATCGGGCTAAAATTATTACAGCAGGTGCTTCATTTCCGTAGCATTTCGTCTATTTAAAGACAATCCCGAATAATCAGCCTCATTATATCCGACATGATGTTACAAGTAAACCTCCTCGAGGCTTTTAAACAAAACATAATTTTGCTTAAGTCTATGGGACTGTGGTGCTACAAGAATGAACGTTTCTATAAGTTCTTTAAGTACTATGTGCAAAGTTCGTTAGTCTTCGACAGCAGTTCTCTAATAATTTACGTCGCACTCAACATTGGAATCAAAAACGTGACTGACACAATTTACAGCTTACCTGGTTCTTTAGAAGTTGTACTACAATCAGTACTTTTTCGTAAAAACTTTCATTTGATCAAGAAGAGTTTGGACAATTTGAATCAACCACAGTTTCAGCCGAAGAATGAAGCCCAAGTGAAAATACTCAAAGATTCAATCATTCTTTCAAGGAAAGTCTTTTATTCATTCTTTGGCTTAGTCTTCGTTATGATAACAATGTGGATGGTACTGCCGCTGACGAAAAAAGGAAAATTTCTACCCACGAAGTACTGGATTCCTTTTGATTATCGTTTGCCCGTGGTGTATGAATTACTTTACGTGTTCGAATGTTGCTGTATTATTTTTCATGCTTTCTCGAATGTTGCTCTGGATACATTCTTTTCGATTGCGATGGTACAAATCGGTGCTCAGTGTGACGTTCTTTGTGACAGCATTAGAAATGTCCGCGAATTGGCTAAAATAAATACCGATGGAGAACTAAAACAAGAAGAATATAACCGAATGGAAAAAGTGTTAATAGGTTGCGTTCATCACTACAACTCAATATCAGAGTAAATATTATCACAGATTTATCACAAAATAAATTTACTTTAATTTGTGTTAGGTACGCAAACTTTATTTCGAATTCTTTCAAAGAAATTTTGATGGTGCAATTTATTTGCTCTAGTTTGATGCTGTGCGTTTCGATGTATGAGTTATCTTTGGTAAGCATGTAGTTGAATTTGCAAGATCCGTACTAATTCAATTTTGTAAAGTCGGAACCCATGAGTGCCCACTTTTTTCAGGTGTTTTTGTTTCAAATTTCAGCCACCAATGAAATATTTCTGTACTGTTGGTTTGCGAATGAAGTTATCATTAAGGTAGTCACAACTACCGTAAGGGTTTTAAAGAATGTTTTATTTTTAGAGCGAAAAGTTATATTATGCTACTTTTGAGTCACAGTGGTACGATTCGTCGACAACTTTTAGAAAGAATTTGACCATTTTTACGCACCAGGTCAAAAAGCCTATTTGCTTGTTCGTATATAATATTGTTCCGGTTGATATTAAATCTTTCAGTGGGGTATGTTTGGAGATTGCTGTTTTATTCTTCGTGCAATCGTTTTATTTCAGTTGCTACAAAAGTGTTGGAGTTTCTTCATTGCTATGAAGAATACGGAAGACTTGCGATCTAATAACTAATCTTTCAAAATAGGTAGTGAATATGGATCATGGATCAGTCTCTACATTTCAAATTATAGTACAAAAGTTATAAAACACTAACTTCCTAATAAAGTAGTGCAGTTACTCAGCAGATCATCGCATTTAAATACATAGATTTATAACATAATGTCCAAATCAGCCGTCATTCTTGTGTCTCTTGTACATTTTTTTTTTGAGAATATACTAAACCACTACCAGTTATAAATTTCGGGACGTATTTTTCAATAGATACCTATAATCTTTTGAAATAATATAAAATTTTTGGTAAGATAAGCTATAAAAAATATGGTTCATGTGCCAACTGAATAAGAATAATATGAGTTTTAAATCAAAGAAGGATGTCAACGAATTCTTAGGAAATTCTTTTATCCATTTTTATCGCTGTGAACTAATGTACCTAAATGACGATCCTAAGACAACTTTTGTAGGGCACCATTATTGTTTTCATATTTTTATGAATCTAAGTAAGCTTGATTTAAAGCAAATTACAGATTTGTGTTTGATGAGAAATCGAAATGTTGTTGAACAGTCAAAGATTACAAAAACTGATCTAAATCTGACAACTATTATTGATGGGTACCGTGATTTATCAACTAGCGTCATCTCAACTAACCTCATTACGTTTCCGGGCGGTCCAATAATGTTTGCTACAGGATTGGGAAATCTATTTGTATACATACATTTTTTAGGTGAATTTTTAACATAGAGTGAATAAATAATTTTTGGTGGGAGCCACCTCTATCTATTCTTCGATTTTAAGAGCACCATAAATATAAATGTAAACATTTAAGTTAAGTTTATGGTTACATATCGATGATGAAAAATTTTGTATCATAGGAAATTTTAAATATATTTTTAAAAGATTCACAATGTTAGCAACGAAGACATTATTAATATGGTACAGAAAATTAACGAATCATGGGTCTACCAACAAAATAAAAAAAAAATATCGTCTATCATCACCGCGTTTTGGTTTTAAAGAAAATCTTTAGGAAATCTGTTAAGTAAATAGCCAGTTTTTGTAACTAATAACTGAAAACAAACTATTATAATTCAGGTCAGGTCAAACACCTTTCCTTCTGGACTCGAATTTCCAAATTACGAAGATATATAGTTATGAGAAAATTTTTGTTCCAAGAGTCCCTGCACATTCCCTCAGCTAACAATAACAATTGCGTACGTACTTAAAAGTTTTACAAAGAACGACATTTTGTGCCAGCAACCTATTATGTACGTTTCACCAACAAATGGAAAGGGTATTGGCTCTTAGATATGAGTGGATTTATATGAATGTTTGTTTTTATATTATTTGTATTATTTATTTGAGCACTATCTTATCAAGCGGATCCATTTATTTCAAAAACAATTTTCGGGCTAAGTAATAATCATAAATTTCTTTACTACAGAAAAATCTGCATTTAAAAACAACTTTATAATATTTGTACAGCGCCAGCAATACCATCAACCCACTTTATCAACCGATTCTTAACTGAATTAAAACTCAACAATTTATTTCTTAATAACCCGAATTACACGACTAACTATTTATTACAGCGATTACGTACAAAATAACTTTGCAACTTAAATGCATTCGTTCACTCAACTTCTTGACTGAATAATCATTCTCGAAGGTGGCCTCTATTTAAATCCATATTTCGGCGATCGAGCTCTTTCTCGAATTGGGTATTCGCGACTTCCGCGCCGCTTCGAGACTTTTTCTGGACCCGTTGCGACATCCGCTTCCATCCGCGCGGCCGATGAGTCATACTACATACGTATGGGTTTATTTATTTCGTAACAATACCTACATGATTTTGTCTAATATTGGCATTTGTTAAAAAATTGGTCGAAAGTTGTTTCAACATATTTTCAAATTTTAATCAATAAAATAAATTGACTGTTTTATTAATTTTTTTGGGCCACCTGTTTAAGCAAATCTAAAAAATATGAATGCAATGATAAATTACAAGTAAAAACTCATCACAGTTTGCATATTGTAGATAGGATTTAGTCGGCAAAATTTTGAGATGACGTCATCAATTTTTTGGTGTTGATAAGCAGATACATTTTGATTAAAAAGTTACTATGTTTTGCAATAGGTCGACAAACTCGATTACAATACCTTCTAAATACTTAGAATTAAATGAGTGCATCCAGTGACTTGCTACTTTGATGTATTTTCAACGTTTCATGACATCCAGAGTACGAAAAAATGATCTCTTGTTTCCGTCTATTTCTCGTCTGTGTGCTATCTATGTCGATTTTTAGTAGACAGAAAATCTCCGAAACTACTGGACCAGTCATTGTTAGATTTTGTATGTATAGTGTCCCAAATACTACAAGGCTATATAGCTGCTGTAAAATTAGGGTAATGTGAAGACGACAATGGAGCAGTCAATAAGGTAAACCCACAGTTGTAAATCTTTGCAACTGTAGCTGCCCCCGACCGTCATCTATTCCAGAGACGGTTGAGAAGATTGAGTATCTTTCGAAACATCAACAGGCAAATTGTATTTAGTTTAATGTACCAAAAATGTTGAGTGGGGCGATATAACCTTGTAGTATTTTTCAGTTTGATAACGTCCAGTCATGATATTTTCGTAATTAACATCATCTAAATTTCATGAAATAAATACTCCTCTACTTTTGGTTTACGAATCTACCTTGATTTTCTTAATTTTTATTATATTTGTTTATTGTTTGGATACAGAGCACTCGTCCGCAGATTCAAGGTCCGAGGATTGAAATTGGCGGACGGCAGCTCTTTTTTGCTCAAATCAAGAATATTTCACTCAATTGTCTCGAAAATGTAAAAATAAAGCAATGTCACAGCTGGCTATACTGAATAATAATAAAATAATAACAGCTCGCCCAAAATTATGTTCGGACCGTTTTGCACCACTGTCGCTTAATTCATTATAAGTTAGTCCTTTCCTCTATTTTGAGGAGACAAAATCAGTCAAATTTCATTTTTTTTTTAAGTAGATGCTTCTTACCGGAACGTGCTAATAGTCCAATTCTTTCGAAGTGTAAACATAAACAGTCGAAGTTACACATGTACTGAGACATTGAGAGAACACTCTCCCGTTGGTTATTTGGTTCAAATATATTGGAAGAGGCTACCGGGGTGTTATTTATGCCACTATTTTTTACTTTATAGAGGTGATCACAAAACAATAACCGCAAAATCAAATTTTCTAATTTTTCAAAAAGCAATATTTGAACTTTTAATTTAAATTATTTCTGATTTAGACCTGGATGTAGACAATGATGATAATTCTAACTAGAAGTATGAGCCACAAATAGACAATTCTTTTGAATCTAGATATCCTAGATTCAGATACTCATGACAATAATCTTCCAAATCCGAATGTTGCAGAACCTATTGCAAAACGTTTTGGCTAGAAGGTGTTTTGCTTCTAAGGGAATCTCACATGAATCTGACCAAACTGTCATCGAACTTTTAACACCGTGATTACTCTAGTAAATCCAGCCAACAAGTTTAGAAAAAAGGTCTTGTGTAAGTCTTGACAAAATAAAAAATTTTTGGGGATTCTGCTGCCATAGGATGTACTAATTATTATTAAAGATCCAAAAATACCCCTGTACTGGAATACATTATTTAAGTAACCAGTGATTGAAGATGTAATAGCATAGTTTGTGATATTTCGAGTAAATTTTTACGTAGAAAATAATAATGAAAAAAAAAAATTGAAAAACCACACAAATTAAAGGAACCAATAATTTCAAATAGAATAAAAAGGTTTAATTTTTAATCAGATAAATGTGCATGGGAGATACTAGATCAAGCTGTTCATAACGCCAACTCAGTGGTTACAACAAAAAGAAAACAAAATAAATCCGTTATCATGAGGTCCACTACGCTTGGTGTTGAACACCACACAAACAAGAGTTCAAAGATGGGATAAAATAAGCAAACGCCATATTGAAGTAGATTGTCCAACCAATTAATCGAGGTGTCGATTTTTTTCAAAACTATAAAATGAACGTTTAAAGTAATTGTCCATTTATTTGATTTAGTCATCGTTAATACTTAGTTGGATGGAATACTGTAACAAGTAGAAATTCAATAACTGTGAGTTCAAAAATATAATGGATTTGTTAGTTTTTCGCCTATAGTTAGTAGATTTTCTTTTGAGTGGAATAAAGGACCGACAGGTAGAAAAAGATAAAGAAGATGGGCAAGAATCTACAACAAAACGAAATTATGCTTCGTTTCCTTCTAAAGATAAAAGATATGACAGCTTCAAGCCTTGGCTAATTTGTGAAAATTTAAAATTTCAATTGACTTGTAGGTTAAAGTTTTGTATGGCTTAGCAAAAATCAAAATTCTTTGATTAAATTATATACAAAATAAAAGGTAATGTGCAATATAATTAGGTATACGTAGGGTTTACTCTCTAGACAAAAATGTGACAGTAACAAAATTCTGTATGTCTCCAGTACTCTCCAATACATCTCTATTGAGATAGTCCTGGATATTCTGAAAAATATATTTCGAAAAATGCACACAAATTTTGAGACACTATTTAGTACGTACCATTGCAGACACAATCAATTATACGTAAGAGAGTACAGTAGAATTTTGATATTCTCAAAATTATTGTGTTTCAATATTACCTACCGTTCAGGATATAAAAATATAAAGTCTTCACAAAATAATATCTTTTGCCTTTTACAATCTGGATACTCGTGTAATAAATAGTTTAATAAATACAGAAACAACTCACGATTATTCGAAATTTGGGAAAAGTTTTTTTACATAATTTAAATCTATGTACCAAGTTTAACAGTCGGAAGAATTTTCCATTCAGTTTTAAACGAAAATACTAACATGTAGACTGTATACCGCAGGTTCCTGGAAACAGTCTGCATTATTTATAGTTGCAAACTGCACTAAGCCTCATAAAGCTTATGTGATAAATTTTAAGCAGATTAATAATACACGGTAATAATTA